GATGAAATCCTAACATCCTTCCTTCTAAAGGAACATTGTAACTTTATTACTTCCAAGACACATTTGTTCATTCTTCTGGCAGTCCATGCTATTCAATATTCTTCACCAACACCATAATTCAAAGCTATCTCTGGTCTTCCTTATTCGTTGTCTAGCTTTCACACACATATGAGGTAATTGGAAATACCATGGCCTTTGCCAGGTGCACCTGAATCCTCAAAGTGACATCTTTGCTTTTGAACACTTTAAGTCTTTTATTTAAAGACTTATTTTATTTAAATCATTTGCCCAATGACTGCTGCTTTTATGAACGTTGATTGTGAATCCAAGTAAAATGAAATTCTTACAACTTCAGTGTTTTCTCCATTTGTCATGATGTTGCTTATTGGTCCAATTGGTCCAATTGGTCCAATTGTGAGGTTTTGTGGGGTTTTTTGTTTTTGTTTTTGAGGGCTGTTATCTTGATCAGTAAGTGTTTTAAGTCTTCACTTTCAGCAGGCAAGGTTGTTCCATCTGCATATTGCAGGTTGTTAATGCATCTTCCGCCAGTCTTGATGCTGAGTTCTTCATAGAATCCAACTTGGATTATTTGCTCAGCAAACAGATTGAGTAAATGTGTGACAGTTTCCAATACTTATGCCTGCCTTTCCCAGTTTTAAACCATGCAGTAGCTCCTTGTTCTGTTCAAATAACTACCACTTGTACAGGTTCTGAATGAGAACAACTAAGTTGTAGAATTCCCCATTTTTCACAATGTTATCCATATTTTATTGTAACTCACTCTCAAATGCCTTTCCATAGTCAAGAAAACATAAGCAAACGCCTCTCTGGCATTCTTTGCTTTCAGCTAAGATCCATCTATCTGTCAGCAATGATGTCCCTTGTTCCACATTCTCTTCTGAATCTGACTTGAATTTCCGGACAAACAAACATGTATGTCTATGTATAGATACCCCTCACATTTTTTTTTAACAAAAACATAGCATGCTATTCATGCCATTTTATGTTTTGCTTTTCTTCACTTAATATGCCTTCGAAATTGCTGTCTCTTAGGACTTAACGGAGCTTGATATTTGCTGTTTAATGAATGCATAATTCTCCTCTTCATGGATGCACCATAGCTCATTTAACTCTTTCCCCTGCTGGTTGTTGTTGTTAAGTGCTGTCCAGTCAGTTCCAACCTATAGTAACCCTGTATAGGGCTTCCTGGGAGCAGCTGGTGAGCTTGAACCACTGACCTTAAACAGTTCAAATTGACTTTGCAGTCCCACTCATTAACCCACAGTGTCACACCAGGTAGATGCTTTAGGTTTTTTGGTTTTTTTTTTTTTTTTTTAGTTTTCTGTTATTACAAACAGCTGTAGCTTTGGATGTTGTCTGTGATCTCAATTCCTAGAGGTGGTATTAATAGGTTAAAGGGTATGTGCTGCTTATGTGAGGTTAGAAAGCACCATGGTGGGGTCCAGGGAGGATACCCCAGTCATGACTCCTTACCAGGAAGAAGTGGGCCAATGGGCTCCTGAGCCAGCTCCTCATGGCTCAGAGAGGAGGTGATGAGGTCTGAGGGCCAGGTCTAAACTGGCAGCCCAGCAGGACACAGAGGACTAGTTGTGCAGTAAAGCCCTCTTCCCATCTAGTCCCTCCCACGATCTGCTGTGGGAAGAGCCTGGGCCAGACGTCAGGACACTTGGGTCCTAGTTCATGCCATTGTCAGGCAGGGTGACCCTCAGCAAGTGGCCCTTTTGAGCCCCTCACTTCCCCATCTATGAGAAGGTGGTAATGGGTTCTGCACTCTCAAAGAAAGGATGGGGTGAAAGCTGGGTGCTGAGGGAAAGAGTATCCCCATGAACACTGGTTGTTTGTTACCTCTTTGGCTGAGGCTTAGGTGGTCAGAGAACCTAATCCCTTCTTTCAGGCTCATCCTCCTTCTGGAGTGACAGAGTCTCTGGGACATTTTAAAGGACCCCAGCCTGCCCCAGCCCAGCGCAGCCTTCAGGGGCCTGCCCTTCCCATGGCTGGCCCTTCCCTTCCCAGAAGTAGAAGTTGGCGGGGAAGAGGCTGCTATTGGATTTCTGTGGCCAGCACTGAGTGGAGCTCCATGGGTATACCTGATGTGGGGAAGAGTTGTGCACTGGAGGAGAGAGCAACGCTTTAGTTGTACTTGCTTGGGGGTAGGGGGAACTCCAGTGATCCAATTGTGCAAGGAGGTTGGACTAGATGGACTCACACCACCAGTTGCTGCCCCTCACTCCAACTCATGGCAACCTCCAACTCATGTGTCAGTAGAACTATGCTCCATAGAGTGTTCAAAGGCTAATTTTTTAAAAAGTAGATCTCCAGGCCTTTCTTCCACAGTACCTCTGGGTGGACTTGAATCCCCAACCATTCGGTCAGTAGTCGTTCAGGGGCTCCAGTGGACTCATAAGCCGTATTTTAATTGGACCTCAAACTGCCATGTGACGTAAGTGAACTACAATTTCTTCATCTGTAAACGGACAGACTAAACTCCCATGACTCCTTAGAGCTTCAACCCAGTGACCCCATGAGTCTGGGGATTCAGATGCCTATGGGGCTCATCTCATGGTGGCATTAGGCAGAACTGTTTTTGAGCCGGTGATGAATTTTCTAGGCCAAGGAGGGGACCTTGTCTGGAGCCAAGGCCTCAGAAGCCACTCCCTTGGCTTCTGCCTGGGATTCGGTCTGGTTGAGGGCCAAGGCTGTCCCGTGCTGCATCGGGCAGCCAGGCTGAGGTCAGCAGTGTGGACGCATCCAGTTTGGTTCCGCCACTCTGGCAGGAAACCCAGGGAAAAGCAGCCCAGGAACATCTGCTGTCTCCTACTCTCCACAAAACCATTTGGCTCATGGTGGAGCCCAGTGGTGGCCTTGCCAAGCTACGTGGGCTTGGTAGAGGGGGTGGGGGCTGGGCTAGGGCAGTTATGCAGGGACCCTGAGGGACAGGCAGGACCAGAGCTGTGACCCAGGGAGGTGGAGGTACTTTGAAAGGAGTGAAAGGGGTCAGTTGTTATTCCGAGACCCGCCCTGGCCTGGTGGAATACAAGTGTGGGTCTGGAAGTGCTCGTGTGTGCCTCCTATTTATAGCCACGTGCTCAGCATCTTACAAAAGAAACTGGGTTTAACCCGCCCCCCACACCAGCCCAGGCCAAGCATGACTCTTAATATTCTCTCCAGACGGACCTCTGATTCCAGCCCTAACAAACGCCCTGACGCTAACCCGAGATGATCCTCAAACCCAGCATTTGGCCCCAGATGGAATCTCATCTTGAATCCAAGCCTCAGCTTCTCTCCTGGATTACTGGAGTCTCCCTGTGTTTTCCTCTTTCTGTCCTGTTTGTTCTCCCTGCTCCAGCCAGAGTCTTAGTGAAATCTAAGTCAGATCTCATCTCCTGCATCAATGCCCATCCCAGTCATGCTAAAACCCAGCAAGGCACTTTGGCCTCTTTCCCTTTAGCCCCCCAGCCTCCTCAATGGTCCTCGGACACGGGAGGTATGTTCTCACTTCAGGGCCTTTGTACTTGGTTTTCTCTTTGCTGGGAACCGCCCAGGTCTCTGTCTGACTCTTTCCTTCTCCTCCATTATGTCTGCTTAAATGCCCCCTTCCCAGGAACCCTGTCACTGCCCACTCTATTTTAAATCACAAACCCTTCTTAAATTCCCAGTCCTCCTTCTCAGCTTTCTTTCTCGGAAATACTGATCATCAGTGAACGTACCAAATGTTTTTCCACATTTACTTTGTTTTTGTCCGTCTCCCTCCTAAGTGTCAGAAGGGCAGGGAGTTTACTCTGCTCCTACTGTATGAACCCCAATCTTGATTCACAGCAGGGGCTTCATAAATGTTTGTGGAGTGAATTGAATCACTTCTGCTCTGACTCCTATGTTCCCCTGGGGCACAGATGGGAGTGTGGATGGCAGGCAGTGGGTGCAGCCCAGCTCAGGGCATGGAATCTGGGACCAGGGCCTCTTGTAGCTCCTGACAGTCCTGGGGAGCCCACCAGTGACCCCAGTCCTTTTTGTCTGGCTTTAGGGCCAGCAGTCAAGCGCCAGTCATTTTCCAGGAGCTGGGGAGCTGCACCCCAGGCCCCTTCCTGGAATCCTACTGTCTCCCTCTTTGTGGGCAGTGGCTCTCCCCATCTCTTTCTCTTGCACGGCAGGAACAGCTGCTATCTCCTTAGTCTGAAAATACCCTGCCTGCCTGTCTGCCTGCTGTCCCCTCCATATCCCTGCTGCTCAATCCCCAGGTCTGAGGACTCCCAAATCATAACGATCTTGAGGGTTCATGGGAGTCTCTGGGCGGTGTAAACAGTTAACATGCTCAGTTGATGAAGTTGGAGGTTTGAGTCTACTCAGAGGGGCTTTGGAAGAAAGACCTGGCTTCCAAAAAGTCATCCATTGAAAACCCTATAGTGCACAGTCATATTGTGGCATGTTGTTGTTAAGTGCCATCCAGTTGGTTTTGACTCATAGCGTCCCTGCATAGAGTTTCCAAGGAGTGACTGGTGGGCTTGAACTTGTCGTAATGGTGACTGGTTGGGGAGCTTGTTAAACTGCAGGTTCCAGAATCTACTCCCAACAATCATACCCATAAAATAGTCATGGATGGCCTGGAGCGAGTCCATTGCACTGTTGTAGTCTGGGGACTGCTGGTTTATGACTATTGGAGCTGACCATCAGCACAGGGCACTGGGGCAATGGTTGACGTTCCCATTCCATCAGCAATTTATTGTGCATATCCGGAGCCTCGGTGCCTCCTTCCATTCATGGACCTGACAGTAGTGCTTCACCTCCCAGGCTGTGAGTCTCCAAGCCTGAGCCTGGGGAAATAATCGCTATCCCAGGGCTGAGGTGCATGTCCCTGCCCACCTTTTACAGACCTCCTTCAGGGGTGCCTATGTTGCTCCTCCTCCTGGGGGGTCCTGCCTGAGTCTTTTTTGCAGGCTTCCTCTTCCCTTCATCTCCCCTTCTGGCCTCTCTCTGCTTCTCAGGTAAGACCCGGACCAAGGACAAGTACCGTGTGGTTTACACGGACCATCAGCGCCTGGAGCTGGAGAAGGAGTTCCATTACAGCCGTTACATCACCATCCGGCGGAAGTCAGAGCTGGCTGCCAATCTGGGGCTCACTGAGCGGCAGGTGTGTGAGTCACCCCAATGTGGGGAATCTGGCCTCCAGGCTGCCAGAGAGATTAAGGGGCTCAGTCAAGGTAGGAGGACAAAGATGTTGAGTTTCCTGAGCATGTTTGTACAACAGAAATCTAGCTACTGCCCACTCCCACTAAACCCATCCCTCCCCTCCCCAAACAAGGGACTACAGGCATCTTGATTAGCTATAGGCGACAGCAGGCTGTAATCAGCCTTGTAAGAGGTACAGGTGCCAAGTCCCCCTAGAGAAGGAAGCAGTCATGCAGAGAGCAGGGAGGAAGGCTTCCAGGAGGAAGAGGTATTAGAACCTGGCCTGGAAGATGGGAAAGAAGGTTACAGAGGTGGGTGTCTCCAGGATGGGGGAGCAGAGAAAGCAGGGTCTAAAGGGGAGAGAGTGTGCTCAGCATTCCTGAGGCCTAGGTGACTGGCAGGGGGCCTCAGGTTTCACACTGAGGAAAATGAATCTCAACCATCCTCCCTCTTTTCCCTTCTCTGTCCTTCTGTCTCCCCATCCCTGCTATCTGATTCCACAGGTGAAAATCTGGTTCCAAAACCGTCGAGCAAAGGAGCGCAAAGTAAACAAGAAGAAGCAGCAGCAGCAGCAGCAGCAGCAGGCCCCCCAGTCACTACCACCAGCCCTTGAAGTGACCCCTACCCCAGCTGGGCCGCCCCTGGGGACCCTGTGCTCCAGCTCCCCTGGCCTCCTGGGAGCCTCCTCCCCAATGACCGTCAAGGAGGAGTATTTGCCCTAGCCCCTGCCAGCCTTTTAGGTCCCGGGTTCGCAGACTTGGCTGCTAGGACTGTGGCTCTTGCTGGGGTCTTAGGAGGTCTGGTCTGAGCCCTAGCCCAGTTACTAATCCACTGACCTTCCAGGTGACCTTGGTGCAGTAACCCACCCACCCAGCCCCTGCATCCTCTTGGCACATCTGTGCAGCGAGCCTGTGGATCAGGAGTTCTTCCAGCTCCTGGGTTCTGGACCAGGTTCTGGACCAGACTCAGTCTCCTAGGGGAGGGGGACAGTTCAAGCCCCAAATGGCTGGTCTCAGAGCCTCCCCAAGAGCCCGTTTCCTGCTCCATTGGTTCAAGGTGGGGTGGAGCAGGTAGCCATGCTAGGGAGCACATAGACCCTGGAGAAAGATGAGGTTGAGAAAAGGTGGGACACTTGCAGACCTGACCTGAGAGAAGACTGTGATTAACTCAAGTGTGCCTCTTCCTCTACCCACCCCCACGGTGACATCCCAATTCCTGGATCCTTTCCTGGTGGCTGCTGAGTACAAAGCCCCTAGGAGCAGATCTGAGGAGGAGGAAGCCCTGTGTTGTCTCCCCTTGCCATTCTCTGTGGGGCCTCCAGCTGGGGAAGGAGGAGCTACAGAGGGAGAAGGGGCCAGAGTCCATCCTGGCAGGTATCTGCCACCCCTGGGAGGCTGGCCATCAGGGCCCAGGCTCAGGGAACCCTGGAGAAATCCCTGGGCCAAGCAGAGCTCATAGCCAGACAAGTGTTGGACATACAGGAATCACTCAGATGCAGCTCCAAGAATAAATTGCTTTCTTTAGAAAAAAAAAAAAAATTGTATAAAAATCATTATACATAGCATTAAAGAAAAATTTTAAAGAAGACTAAGTCCTCTTCACCCTTCCCTGTTGTTGTTAAGTACCATCAAGTTAATTCCAATTCAGCGCAACTCTGTAAAGGATTTCTGAGGAACAACTGGTGGGTTTGAACCACCAACCTTTTGGTTGTCAGGCCAACGTTGATCCTACAGTGCCACACCGGCAATCCTCATTCCTTCCTAAGAACACTTATTCCCATCCTGTCTGTGTGTAACTCTACAACAAGATCATCTTTTAAATGCATCTGGGAAATCCAATTGGTGAGTCCACTTTGTAAGTGGAATCATCAGACTCCATATATCAGTCCTTTGGATTTCTTAAATACCTTCAGTTCAGGTTTTATTTTCAACAGACCGTATCCTTTGGGCATCCCCAGGTACCAGGCATAGCTTAGCCTGGGGTACACACATCCTTGGCCCCAGAAGTTCCCTATTCAGTGTAGAGACTGCCCTGTTCATAGGTGACCCTGCTGTTAACAGGGTAAGGACAAAATAGTGTATAAGATGAGGTCAAGGAAGGCTCCTAGCTTAGCCTGGAAGGTCTGAAGTCTTCTAGGAGGAGGTGGATGCTAACTAATGAACCCTGGTCTGGCCAAGAAGTGAGAAAATTTATAAAATACGAACTTATGTGATAATTTTTTTTAAGTTCCTGGAGTAAACTGCTAGCCTCAAGTCCTTTTCAGGCATCTGTATCCCAGGCCCTTTTCTCCCTAGAGGACTCCAGTGCCAGCAGCTTGCCCCTCTGTTGACTATTCTGGGAGGTAGCCGGGCCATAAAGAGTACGCAGCTTGCCTGCCATTGCCCTTTGCTCTTGGGACAAATGACAGTGCTTGAGGTGGATCCACTCCTGGCACAAGCCAGAACATCTCTTCTGTAGTCAGGAGACACCATGAGTTTTCCCTCATTTAAGGCAGGGGATCCTTCCTGGTGCCAGAGGAAGGGACCAGGGTGTCAAGAGCAGAGGGAGAAGTGTTGATGGAAGGGTGGCTGGCAGTGAGTGAATATAAATTTGTAATCTTCAAAAAAATTTGCTATAAAATTACTGTGTGACCCTGCGGTAACCTCTTGCCCTCTCTGGGCCTCCATTTCCCCATCTGTGAAACTGGGGGGTCTGCCTATCCAAAAATATGTAGAAAGGTTCTGGTCAGTTGAGTTTGGAAGCCAGGCAGACTCAACTCTCCTGGAAGAGACATAGTGGTGAATTAGTACATCAAAGACTCTTGAACAATTCTGTATGCAAAGAAACTCTTTGAATTTTCCTTACTCTGCCTTTGCCCACACTTCTCTAATCAGGTGACCATACTAACATCTACTAGCATCCAGCTGAACTCTATCCACTTAGGGAGGCTCTGAGCTGGAGGCCTGCCCTTGTGACTGTGACTCAATGTTTAGTTGAGGTTTTGTTTTCAGAAGACCTGGATTTCTCAAGTACTTCTAAACTGAGATTTCAGACAAGTTGCTTAGCCTCTCCGAACCTCATTCTCATTTGTGGAAGTCAGTTACTCTGACAGATCTGAGTTGTGTTTTGCATAGGACCTAGCACGTATTAAGAGCTTGTGTGTCACCACATTTTCTTGAGGGTATGACGTTGATGTTATAGCTACTCCTCCCTCCTCCCCAATACTGAGGACAGATGGTGGCTGGGAAGATCTGAGGCAGGACCAGTCAGTCATAGGGAGACCTCCATCTGACAGGAGGTCAGTGGCTAGGCCTGGCAGGTGAGGCGAGTGGCAGCCACTGCCCTCCTAAGGGGATCACCTGTAGATTGCTCAAGAGAAAAGGAAACTCTCTAGGAGAATTTCCAAACACTACAATGGATTACTTTGTGAGTTTCCTGTCACTCAGAGATGTCTACCTTGGATATAGGGTTATAATGGCTCAGGAAAGGAACCTACTAGACCCACAGCTGCCTGAGTGCTAAGAGGCTCCAGTCTTATCAGTAATGGCTGTGCTGCGTTGTATATAACCATTCTATTCTTTCCCCTCTCTTCCCACAAACATGGTAGATAAAGGAGAGGCTTCCATTGTTTGAGTCCCTACACAGCCAGTATTTCCTGGGTACCAGCTGGATGCAGGTCCCACACTGTGATGGAGACAGGAAATATGGACAAAACTCAGGTCTAACCCAGCCATGTCCTTGACTGCCCACAGCCAAGTCATGGCCTCTAGTAAACAGAAGCTGCATAGCAGTCTTGTGTCTTGCATGCCATTTCCGTTTCCAGATAGGGCTGAAACCCCACTTTGAGAAGCCATGGAAGAGCCAACCCCATTGCCAGGGTGGACTGAACAGAGCAGGCTGCATCAACTCCAGGAAGGTGCTCAGGGTTGGGAGTGATGTGATCTCAGCCAACGTCTGTGTGTGTGTGTGTGTGTGTGTGTGTGTGCATGCATAGGTGTGAGTGTAGACTGGGTTGTGATGGTGGCGGATAGCAGGATTGTGGAGCTCCAGAAGCTGACATGCCCAAGAGCAGGATGCAGAAATGGGAGCACAGATTGGATGGGGGAGGTCTTGGACAGGGAGGCTTTAGAGGGCAGTCCTGTCCCTGTGAGGCTGCTCCAGAACCACTTTCTCTGAATCACACCAGATGGACTAGCAGTCTGGAACTTCATTTTTCACAGTCGCCACTTGCTGGTGTAGCAAAACACATGTTCCACGGTGATAAAATCTGAGCATTAAAGCAAATTAAAAAATGTTTATTTATATGCTTTTAAAAATATCTCCCTATATAATAAAAGAAAGTACATTTTCATCTAACACGTTCTTTTAAATTAGCATGCATCTTCATTTCACTTCTGGTCTGATGGGAGACCAGAAGAAATACTGAGAGAGAAAAGGGGGAAGAGGAAATTGAATGTGTACCTGGTTGGATTACTAAGTAGTGATTTTGCCATTTAGTGCCCCAACTCCCTCTGGAATGGAAAGAAATGTGTCAATGGTTGTCAAGCGTGCCTAGAAACTGAACCCATGGCCAGTTGTGTTATTATAAAATTGGGGCTACAGTGGATAATGTTCTGTGATGTGTACCTTCTAGAACATCCTGGGGTTTTGTTTGTACTGTGGAAGTGCAGACTCCTCCTCCTCGGTAAGGGCTGTGATGATGAGGGAGGGAGTGACAGGTGGAATCTGTAGAGTATAGACAGGTGCATTCAGATTCCTGGATTCCAGGCCAGACCTTCCCTCTTTTTTTTCTTTTCCTTTTTATAAGTTTTTATTGTAAACTGAGTGATAGCTTGCATGGGAGTACATCAGTTTTACACTCATTGTTTCATTGCAATGATTACAATCTCTGTGCAACATCATTCAACAGTATTTGCTTCCATTCCCTCTGTTTTTCGTTTATTTATTTATTTATTTATTTGGTGGGAGGGGGGTGTACACAAAAACACTTAGAAATATATAATAATTTAAATAACCAAAGGGCACATTCTGCAAGGCTGCCTCCTAGCCACTAGCAAACAGCCTTTCTCCTTCCATGAGTCTAGAGTCCTCAGCTGCTCCCTCTCTCCATGTCCTCATCTCTGCCCCCATCTCTGGTGTCACTGCTTCTCTGGATAGGCTCCCACATTCTGCTCGTGCTCTTCTCCCTTGATGGTCCTAGGGTCCTCTGTTTCTGGACTGTAAGACTAACTACTACCCCCTTTGTGTTACAAATCTTCTACTTTTACAGTTATGACAGTTGCAATTAGTTATGACAACAATTAGTCACTATTGAGTCATAAAAATCTTATCCCTATCTCCTTTCACCAGACTCATCTAGACAAGATGAAAACTATTCAGTGGAGAGTCTACTTTCCTCCACACACTCTGAAACTAAACTCCCTCTTGAAAACTTGTAGGCCAGTCACTTCATGCTTTTATAGCCCCCTCATTTTAGGTAGCCAGTGTCTAAGTTGCCCATCCCTATCAACCCTGTATACAGAGGGGATAGGATTGATCATTGATGTGAAGACTCCTTCCCTCTTAGTTGATATTTTGAGCTACTACATCTATAAGTATAGGTCAAACTAATCAAATTGTAGCAATTTACACTTGTTTCAGTTATCAAAAAAATTTTTTTATCTTCCTGTAGTCGAGATCTGATATGAAGCCATCGAGGCTAGGTCAAATGAGTACTATCTATAAGTTTGAGCATTCTTGTGCA